AAAGTCATTTTTAAATAGTCTGTAGTTGACATTGGGATTTCCTCTTGCTCCAAGAGTTATTTAATATATTGGGTCGTTGGGAAAGTCATGACGCATTTTTCTATGTTTTTCAATGCAAAAATGCGTCATGACTTTCCCGACAACCCACTATTTTCTCAAGAGGCTAATGTTTTTAGGTGTACATTTGCTGTTCCTTTCTAGTTACTAAAATTTCAGTCGGTGTGTTATGGATGTATTTTGCCAGCCCTTCTCATTTCGTTATTCTCCTTTGCATTGTTATATTTACGCTTGGCAGTTCATCAATTAAATAAGAAAGGATACACTAATGCATGTGCACATTTTGTGTCACTTTCTCTCTCTCCTGGTATTTCAGGAACTTTTGCATCACACCTCTATACAATGTTATTTGGATAATTCTGTCTTCATTGGGAAATCGTGTGTTTACTTCATAAGCTTTCACCTTAGTATCTTCCTCTGATGTGTGTACACCAGCTCAATTTTGTCGGTGGTGGTGGTGGTGGTATTAGTTTAGACAGACTAATACACCAAGTTCTCCATCACCACAGGTTTGCTCATCCATCCTGCTCCCTGCCAACAAGAGTGCATGGGGCTCTGTCTCCACACGCTGCCAGGCTCTGGGCCCAGGCTGACGCTGACCAGCAGCCTCTGCCCAGAACACCACCAACTGGCAAAGCAAAGCATTGTGGGTAAGCTAACAGAGTGTTTCAATTGAGTAATATGAGTTAGTGATGTAATTGTCAGGTGTTAGTATAAGGTTATGCATGTTTGTTATGTAAATTACAGAATTCCCATGCTAAGATTTTGAAATAGTTGCAAAGAAGAAAATAGTTATTCCAAAATGATTAGCTAAATAAATATGTGTTTGTCTCAGGTTAATATGACAAGCTTAAGTTAAACGTTTGTAAGTGAAGACTCAGCTAACCAGCATATCACAGACTAGATTTTGAGTAAGATTCTTCAGAATGCTTAGCAGTCCTCAGAGTATCATTATTTCAAGAGCTGACGTTTTTAACACCTTTCTTCTGATCATCTGTAAAAATTCAATATCGGTTGCCCTTGAAGCTTTATATTTCATGCCTGGAGAAGCGATGATGAATTGGTTGGGCTTCAGAACACAATAGAAGGGTACTGTAGAACATTCGGTGCTTATCTTCTGTTGATGTAATGAAAGGACACCTTTGGGTTTTTAGTGGAAAGTCCTCATTATTTGTCATTTCTGAGGCTGATGGCGTGTGCTGCAGTATGTGGGGGTGTCCACTTGAAATCATTCATGACACAGTCGAAGGAACGCTCCAGCCTTTGCAGTCCAGCTTGCTTATGCTCACTGTGGAGGGAAAGCCCCTCCCTGCATTTTCAGAGAGGAGCGAAAATGAGTCCTTCACACCTAGGCACGCCCCACATTCTTTACACCGTCAGTGGACCCTGATTAGGAAAGCACCAGCGTTATCGCATGCCAGTAACAACAAACATGGGTCCCCTAAGCGTGACACTGAGCATTAATTAGTGCCGTGTGAAAGAATGAAGTGGATTCACAAGGAGACACCTGCCAGCCAGGTGACAAATGGCAGTTGGATAATATAGGATGTATCTTTAACAGGGTCTACAATACATAGGCGAAACAAACTCGATTATTAGTATTTTCCAATTTTCATAATAGTTTCATAAATATGAAGCTTTTCAAAACAATGTTATGCACAGGAATATTTTTATGCTCTGCAAATACGATAGTACCTAGGTATAAAACAGTGAAACACAACTGCTACAGGGACACATAACATGGCAATGAAATCTAATATATCCTATTTTCTTAGTATTCCCACATTTATGACAAAGGCACTGCATGTGTCAGTGAGAGCTGAATGTATGCCAGAAGACGGCGGCCGTGGTGGTGCAGCCAGGTAAACCCATGTCCCAGGGATGCATTGTCGGTCAGCTAGAAAGTTCCAGAATCCATCCTGAAGTGCTGTTTTCCGTCTTCCCCGCTCTCCCTGGGGTGACTCGGAGTTGCTCTTCCAAAGTCTGCAGGAGGGTGTGCTGGCTGCCTCCTAACAGTCAGAGCAGGGGCTCGGCAGTGCTAGGCAGCAGTGGGTGCAGCAGGGCGTGCCCGTTACAGAAAGAATAAAAACGGCAGCTGCCGGCAGGCACAGGTGTGTGGGCTGCATGGGAGAGGCTGGGTGGATGAGTGTGTGACCAGCACGAGGTCTGCTGTGTGCTGATGGCTGAATGGCAGGGCCTGGCTGGTAGCCCTCACCCTCCATCTGCCAACAGGCTGCACCAGCTCCATGGGGACCCGCCCCCAAGGGCATCACGTTTGCAGCCTCAGTGGCAGGGAAGAGGTTTCCTTCCTTTAAAATTTATACCTTATGTAAATTTAATCACTGCCAAGTAAATATGAGAACTAAATATATTATTCTATAGTGAACTTGAAATACAAAATTTTATATTCACACATATGGACTTTTGATTTAAATATTTAATGCTGGTCAGATACTTCCAATCTATACCTTTGCTTGGAGTTTCAGTGACGAGTGTAGAGATACCATGTGATTTGAAAATAAAAACAGGTGTAATTCTTGGCATGGTTGACAAAATCACTAAATCACTCATTAAATTACAATTTGATACCAGACATGGTGACCAGGTGACCAGGGCTGCTGGAACAGGCTTTAGGGACTGATCCCCTGATTAGGGCTCATTCTCACTGAGCCTGTGTCTCTGGGCTGTGAGCCGCACACGTGTTTCTCATTGCTTCCGTCCCGCTCAGGTGGGAGAGGGTGGGCGGGACTGGCTGGGACTGCGCACTTCCTGCCCAGGTGAGTCAGGTTCTGATAAAAACGCAGCAGGCCGGGCTCCGGGTGGTTTCTGCTGAGATCAGGCCGCGTTGAGGTCCTGGCAGCACTGGGTCCGGGGTGCTTTGTGCCCGAGTCTGATCGGTGAGTTCCTCTCTGTGCTCCTCTGTCGGTCTCCCCAATCTTGGAGGCAGTGGTTCCCTGTTTCCTCGTCTCTCCTGGGGATCCCAGAAGAACTGTGGGTGTTTCAGTCCCTGAGCTGTTGGCGTCCCAGCTCTTGTGTTTGGGACCGGAGACCCGGCCAGTGTTCCTTTTTTCTCCCCTCTTAGAATTCCCATGTCTGCGCCCATTACCCAGGTGTCCTGAACGCTGCCTGCTTTCCCATCAGAGCCCTTAGCATATTGACCAGATTTGGTAGAAATCCCTGGTCCGATAATCCCAGCACCTGCCATGCTGGTCTCCCGTGGTTCGGTCTCTTCAGCGTGTTTTTCACCTTGTGACCTCCGGGTGACGTGTGTTTGGCAACTTGGGGGGAAAGGCAGAGTCGTAAAGAGGCCACAGTGATGTGAGGAATGGGGAGCCCTCCTGTGGTCCTAGGGTGATAACTAGCCTTTGGGGAGCTGCCCCCCTGAACTGTGAACCTTACCAGGGCCTCTCACCCCCCTCCCCCCTTCCTGGGACAGGCTGGGTGGGGGTGTGGAGCTGGCCTTTTCTCCCCATGTGACATTAGAGCCAGCTGCAGTCGGGTGTCCTCGGCCCCAGGGGGGTCAGGCTCCGGTCAGACTGTTCTCCAGAGAGCAGCCCTGGTTAGAACCATGGAAGGTTCCAGCACATTTCAAAATGGCTCCTTTCCTCCCTGTGCTAGAGGGGGAGGCTTGACTCTGGTGGTTACTGAGAACCTGGCCAGGCTCCTGGAGGTAAAACTCCTCCATGTCTGGGTGCCCAGGAGGCTGTAACTCAGACCTGTCCTCACAGAGTCCCCCATTTTGTTTGATCATACCTTGTGGCTGTTTTTTTCAGTTTTCTCAGATTTTTACTAGTTACGATGGAATCACGACTTCTAAGCTTCTTACCTGCTTGACTATAAACCAGAATTCAAATAGTTTATTTTTTTAAGTTGGGAATTTTTTGAACATTTTAGAAAAATACAGTAGGGAAGGCAGATTTGGTGATTCAAGTTAATCGTTGAACTAAATAGTCAAGTAAATAACGAGATGGTTCTAGGGTAAAAGTTCGGTCTATTGATTGATAATTTGCATGGAGTCTTTTGGAGTTATCATGGTATTAACTTCTTAGGTAATTGCTTTCACAGGGATTCATGTTGGAATTTAATTGCTGAGATTTCTTGTAGGTCCTACATTCTTTACATAAACATGATTGCTTGGAAACTTCCTTAATGTGTATTTTTTCTTATTACTGTAGTAGCAAATATTTATTTCTTTACACAAAATATTTTGTGCTCTTGGAAAGTTAAAATTGAAAAATACTTTTGCAAAGTTCTCTTCTTTTGTGAATAATTTTATGATAAAAAGAGTGGAGGCTGCATTTTGAAAAGATTCGTGTGACAACCCACTTCTACCTTTAGCACCTTGTTCTTCGAGACCCCCAGCTTGCTTTGTTAAAGAATATTAACTCACATAGATATACCCAATACTTAAGAGAAAGGTTAATTGGGCTTCATATATTCCTCAAGTTCTCTTACATCCCCAGTTTATCATTTCTTAGAAAAAATTAAGTATTATCTTTTAAAATCAAGGGAATTGGAAAAATGTCCATGTGAAAACTGAATTCTATCATTTATTTTGTTTTACATATGGGATATATAAAAGTATTGTGAACAATAATATAACATTACAATAAATGAAAATGCTTTTTTCTTTACAAGTTTGATGTTATAATTACTTGGGAGATATATAATTACAAATATTTTATTTCAAAGGATACTTGCCTCTATAGCACAGATTGTAAGAATTGTCAAAGCTGTATTGTAGAAAACTACTAGAGAATTAATTAGAAAAGAGACAAGAATCAGAGAGGATAGATAAAGGGACATTTTTAATAACACCAACCACTATCATATGTCTTGGATTCCTGCTCTTGGAATGATAAGCTTTTTCTTGTGAAAAATGAATATTTTCATTTATTTATGAAATCATTCAAAAGCAATGAAGGCTACCTTCTCTGTTCCAGGCAATTTTGTACCACCTATACAGTGATGAACCAGAAGCCGTCTCTGCCTGCCCAAAACTCAGGTGAGGACTTGGATAAGGACTTGTCTTCCAAACACGTAATTCTAATTTCTAACACAATTCTTTTGTAATGTCTAACACATAATTTTTACATTCAGTGTTTGTGTATTAGATTGTCTTGATCAACCATAATGCTGAAAACAGCTTATAAAGATGAAAGTTAGACTTGAAAACGTGTCCTAAGGGAAGCGTGGACTTGGGGCCCAAGATCATGAGAACAGAGAGAGGGGCAGACACTTGCTGAGATCCTTTCTCAGAGGAAAGTGTCCCCTCAGGTGGTGACAACTTTCACAGCTGTGTTTGAGAAGTTGATACCCTGAGCAGAGCTTCCGACAGTCATGATTAATACAAATTAGAGCCTATTAAGGGCTAAGGTCTCTGAAAAAAACACCCAAGGTGTTCGTTGGGCCCCTAGCAGCACAGGTGAGTTCAACATACAGTAACTTTTCAGGGTCAAAAGCCCAGATTTAAATATCTCACTTTCTTTTCGAATTAAAGTAAGCAAAACGGGTGTCTGTACACTAGGTACCTATCAGAAGAAAGGAAAATGATACTGGGATGCAAATAGTATCATAGCAAGTTTCAGTTATTAATGAAAATTTTCATGTAAAGCACACAGCACAATCCAAACATCTTACTCATGTGAGAGGATGGATCATGACAGAGCAACAAGAGAAAAAAAGACCGTGGAAACATGACTTTTTGTGTTAGGATTAATCAGATACCTTAAGGTTATTCAAGCAATGGAGATACAAAATGAAATTTCAAGGAAGACCTGGCAATTATAAAAGTAATTAAATGGAAATGTTAGGCTAAAAAAATGCAATAAAATAAATTCAGTAATGCAAAGAGAATTTCACTTCTGCTTGGGATGCAAATAGGTGTGTTCACCTCTTGCTTTTATGGTAAGAGAAAGAATTAAAGTGGCGCCTGCCTGGAAGCACAGACCGGCAGTGGGCGGGCCTTGCACAGGTGAGTGGCAGGCTATGGTCGGTCACACACCCACAGGGTCAGTCCTGGCAGGTAAGGAGGCTCCTGCCAAAGACTGCAAGGTTTCTGCGTATAGAACAGACAAGTGAGATAACAATGCAGCATGGAACTGGCCCACCACACACACAGCCGTGTTTTGCATGTCGTAACAATCCTCCATGCCCTTGTTAAATTTTTGCAGAGGTAATGGAAGTAAGTGTAGCACTGCTAAACACAAAGTAGCTACAGACATGGTGCCTGCGACGTCTGAACACAAAGATCTTCTGGAAGGCCACCTCTACCCAAGCATCCGTGTCACATGCAAGTAGACATACCTTTAGGCAATTATGGTAAAAGCAGTGTCATTTTATGGATTTGATGAAAAATAGTTCCACAAATCCAAGAAGCTCAGTGAATCCTACATCCTGCAAATATTCAAAATAATCAAACAATATAATTAAAATACTGAAAGTAATTAAGTCAACCTAAAATTCAAAAATCATCTTCAAAATTTAAGGTAGAATAAAGACATTTTCAGAGAAACAAGAGCTGAAGGTGTTCATTACGAGCCAAACTGTACTACAGGGAATTTTAGAAAAAAATAAGGTAAAATTCTTTGGGCTGAAAGAAAGCCTACCGGTAGGAAACTCAGGTATTCAGGAAAGACTGAAGCACTGCAGAAATATTACAGGAGAAGGTAAATATAAATGACTCAAATAACATAGTTTTATTGAAACACATTTGCCTGTTCAAAAACGGAGTCCTCCTTCCAACCGTCTCCCAGCGTCCGTCTGGTCCATGAGCCTGCAGTCCCAGCTAATTAACATCTGACTGCAGCCTCACTGGACAGCCCTCGTTAGTACCACCCAGTCAGATAGTTTCAAAATTCCCCACAAACAGAGGCCGGGAGATAGATAAATGGTTGTTCAGTTTCTGGTGTGACGTGTTACACAGCAATTGATAACCTATGTCTTTGGTGAGGATGACTTTTGTTTTTCCTTTCAAATATCGCTTTTTTTCTGATCACACTAGCTAAGAATTCTTTTACAATGTTGAATATAAGTGGCAAGAAGAGAAAACCTTGTCTTATTCCCAATTTCAGGACTAAATCATTTCACCATGAAGTAGCATGTTTTCTGTCTTGTATACGCACTTTATCATGTTATAGAAATTTTCTGTATCCCTAGTTTGTTAAGAAGTTTGAAAAAATCGATATTGAATTATCTTTTTCCCCATCCATTAAAATGTTCACTTAGGGCCGGCTGAGTGGCTCAGTTGGTTAAGAGCTCGCTCAAGAGTTTGAGCTCTGAGCAACAGCGGTTCGAGTCAGCCCGAGCTGAGCAGCCATGAGCTGCCAACAGGTGGCGGGATGGCTCAGCTAAAAAAAAAAAAAAAAATCACTTAATTTCTTTTTTACTGGTAAAGGTAAATGTCATTGATTTTCAAATATGAAACTCCCCGTGTATCCCTAGAATAAGCCCACTCAATCACAGTGAATTGGCCTTTCTGTACTTCAACACAATTGAATGAAAAATTATAGAGAGACTAGTCAGTGACTTTCCTTTCCTCCTGCGTTGTCTTCGCCGGTTATTAAGATTTTCTTGGCCACATAAATTAGGCTGAGAAGTGATCCGATATTTCATTAGTAGAAGGGTTTGTGTAGGACTGGTATTATTCTTAAATATTCAATGGACTTGACTGGTGAAGCCATCTGGACCTGGGGCTTTCTTTGGTGGAAGGGTTCCACTTGGAATTACCTAATATTCATTTAGATTTAGTGTGGGTCTGCTCTGGTTAATTATTCCAGTTTTTGTCTCAAACTGTCCTTACTGTTTTCTTTGTAAGTATATGACATTGGATATAGAATTTGAGTTTGGCGATTGTATTATTTCAGCACTGACACAAGCCCCAAGACCAAATAAGAGAATTAGTGGCAAACAGATCTTATTTGGGGAGGAAAAGTTTCCTCTTTGGAAGATAAAAGAAATGAAGTCACATATATGGTGAGGCAAGATTTCAGATGGCCAAATTCTTGAGCAGAGACCAGCCATGGAATGAAATAATACTATTACTGATGGGGGTGGGGGGGGTGTGGAAACAAAACACTAGAGATGATCTATTATCCCCTTATTTTAAGGACAAAGAAAATAGCATCAGAGTCATGAAATAGCCTTTTAGAGTTCATAGAGCTTCTTAGTGGAACCTGTGCCCCTAAGTTCATAGCCTGAATTGAAAATAGCCACTACATCAACATCATTGTGTTAAGTAAGATGTGCCTGCCGGTAAAGTGGGGGTAGCAGACATGAATACAGCAGGGGACAGACCACGTCACTGGGGGAATCCAGTGACCACAGTGCTGGGAGCTCTTACCAATGTTTTTGTCCAAATTCTCTGTAGGAAGCACATATTGAGGTCCCAAGCTATCTGCATCTGGCCTCGTATCGTAGTCATGCATTTTAAAATAACTCTGTAATAAAAAGTATTGACATTTTTATACTTCTAAATTGGTCATATTAGCATACTGCAAAAGCAAAAACATATTAAAAATAAATGACTCTGATTCTAAAAAGTGCAAAGGAATTCAAGTAGCTGGGAATAAGTAACTATAAATGTGAATGTCTTGGGCAGTAAATACTCTTTACAGCTCTATCATGATTTCAGCTCATCTGGGAGAAGCTATGTGTCAATATTACCATATAAAGGGCAGAGATGACTTCGTGGGGTGAAGTTTTAAGTGAATTGAGGTTTGCTGGCACTAGTACTGTAATATATCTGCAGACACACCAAGTATGTCATTGGAAGAGCAGCTTCCAAGTATTGGATTGTGTCTTCCCCCAAATTTCATATGTTGAAGCCCTCACCCTCTATAGTGTGACCTTATTCAAAGCAGGACCTTTAGGGAGATAATTAAGGTTACGGGGGGTCATAAGCAGAGGGACCCTGATCTGATAGGACGGTGTCCTTAGAGGAGAAAACATCAGAGCCCTCTCTCTGCATATGTGCATGAGGACCGGCCATGTGAGGCCACAGCAAGGTGGTCCTCTGCAAGCAGGAAGAGAGCCCTCCCCAGGACCCAGCCCTGTCAGCACCCTGATGGCAGACTTCAGCCTCAGACTGGGAGACATAAATTGGCAAAGCAGTTTTGGCATGGCTGCCCTAGCCGACTGGCACAGTATGCTCGTCACAGATGAGTGTCACAGGGTGCGGAGCTGTATCTGGAGGCGGCACTGTCAGTCTAGCTGTTGGCAACACTTACCTGTGAGAGAAGGATGCTGGAGACAAAGTGGATCATAGCGCCAGAGCTGCTTAGAGAGTGAGAGCTCCATGAATGGGTGCTTCAGGCAGGAATAGGAAAGTGCTTTCTCGTGTGTGTTCATCCAAATCTTCCCCTCCAGGGATGTGTTTCCAGGAGTAGGAGAAAACTCATAAATCAGTGGGTGTTTGTTACGGCTCTTTGGACGTGAGCCTTAGAAACATCCACACAGTGGTGCTACAGGAGGATGTAGGTGGCGCTGGGAAAATGGGGAGTGAATAGTCCCTGTACTCGATAAAGAGAATGCCTTTCTGTTCAGTTACAGAGGTTTTTTCAATTTGACATTGCCATTCCTTGTAGTAACACAAAATAGTAATGACAAAAGCAAGCTGTGTGGTAAGCCTGCAGATCAGCAAGCACATGAGTATGCCTTTTTTTTTTAAATTTCTTTGTGAACCAGCGAGGCCAGTGCTGGACAGCATCCAGACTGTAGCAGCACTGAGTACATACAGAGCCTGCCCTCCACGATGCGCAGACGCTCGTGGAGATGGCTTCTCAGCACATGGACGCTGAATTTCCCAGTGTTCCAACAGCAACGATGCTGATAGTGTCAAACAGAAGAAGGAAATGAGTGTGTGCTGTTTGTTAAAGTCACACATCATTTCACAGGTGGATAACTCTCATTAAGAGAAGGGTGCGTATGTAAAGAAAGCATGGAGCGAGCCAAGCAGGCTCTGTGGGAACTGTTCCTTCACAGGCCTGTGAGAGCCACGGTTCGCCCAGCTTACCTGTCAGAACGCCCACAGCAATGGTGCTTGAGAGAAAAAACAATTCAGGTCTTAGAAGTCCTTGCTCTTCTCCACATTGGCAGCTCTTGCTACCTGGCTGGAAGCACAAATAACAAAAGCTGATGGAACTGCCCAAAAGAGAGAGAGAAGGAGTTAGCAATGGGACTGGGATGACACAATGAAGACATGCATAGCTACACGTAAATGAAGCTGGCATCAGATCAGCAATGTAAATTAGAGGGAAAAAACAAGGAAGGGGTAAAAAGGTAGGCTCTGACTATTTTCACAGCACAAAAGCTATGGTTAAAAGTCAGGTCCAAACGGAAGCAGAGAGTGCTTTTATGCAAAGGAGGTATTAGATCACCAGACGGAAGTTAATTTAATACACAGCAAAGAGGTTCATTAGAAAAATTTGTTAGCAGTCAGATTTCTAAGGTGATTATCCTTTCACTAAAAGGGAGAAACTGGGAAACAACTACACATTTTTTGTTTGTTTCTGATATATAGATAGTGTTTTTAAGGGAGGAGAGAAAGGTAAAAGTTTTTTATTGAATGAGTGAAAGTCATTGTTTACCAGATAAAAGTAAACACTATGGAAAAATAGTTTACATTTACTATGAAAATTGTCCCATGATAATAATCCTTGAATTCAAAGTAAGGAGGCTAGTTTTCGTGATTTGCATATGATTATATTGAAACTCCTTATTGGTTGGGACCTAGAGAGCGAGAAGTAGCAATCATTCTAGTCTTCTTGGTGAGACGTTTGCGTGCCAGAGGATAGCGAACAAATCTGACCAAAGTTCAGGGGTCTCCTGCCTCTGTGGGTTCCTGGGGTCCAGTGGGGTGAGCCTTGTCGAGAGAGTCCTTCTCAGGTGAAGGCCACGTTGTTGGATTCGGCTCGTCCTGTAGCCAGAAAGGAAGCACAGTGCCTCGGAGGTGCATGTCCGTTTGGGAGGCGGCATGTCCCTCGTTTGGGCGTGTTACTCCAGCCCATTTACCAGGTGACCTGAAGAGTGGCTAGAGCTGAGGGAGGCGCTGGACAAGAGAAGCCTCTGCCAAGTGCCCAGGCCGCTGTGGCAGCGGCCCTGCCCAGGGCACGTGCCCAGCAGCTGCGATGGTGCCTGAAGCGTCAGGGGCAGGTGGGGGTGCTGCCTGGAGCCTTTGTCAGCCCCTGCGGGTGGGCCGTGGTCCGGCCCCGAGGACGTGGGTGCGAAGCCCTGCCATTCCCCGCAGAGAACGGCTCTTCCTGTTAGAAACAGCCCTTGGCCTGTCCCTGGTCCTTAGTAGAGACTGAGGAGCTGCCTCAGCTGCCCATCAGGCGCTGGGTGTTATCCGGCCACCAAGCCTCGCGCCGGGCGTGCACAGCAGCAGTCCATCCTCAGATGGAAATGTACAAACACAATGAGGCCAGAGCAGGCCCTGCAGGCACAAGTAAGGGATGCAAAGAAGTGGCAGCTGTCCCCGGTCCCCACCCCTGCTGCTCTGCCTTCTCCCCCAGCCTGCACCTGTGGTTCTGTTGGGGTGTCCCCTACAGTCAGTTGACAAAGGAAGACAAGACTCAGGCCTGGTTTCCAGATGGTTCCAGTAAAGCGCCCTGACCACACGAGGTGCTTGCTGAAGACAAAGGGGAGATGGAATGGGCTGTGTTAGAAGGTGGTTATGCACCCCAACTCTGGCCACATGGCCAGTGCAGATGCAGGACTGTGGCTCAGGCACCTGTGCTCCTTGTCTCATCATGCACATGTGTGTGTGTGAATAAAGTGTTTCATATTCCATCATCACACTGCAAAAGATGTACTGACTTAGTATCATAGTGTCTAAGTTATGGGATCTCAAGCGACATCACCAAAGGACTTACCTCTTCTGGGAAGAGGCTGGCGTGTTTCCACGTGCATGCAGGGTAACTGGATCATGGGAGGCAGAAGTAGGACCTCGTTATGGTCTTGATTTGGATATTAAGGATGGCTTACAGAGGTGAGCGTGGGTGCCAGTTGTCAAGGGCTGGACTTGGGATGGTTAATGCAATGTGTCAACTTGCCCTGGCCACCGAGTGCCCAGATGTCTGGTTAAACAGCATTTCTGGGTGTGTCTGTGAGGGTGTGTCAGGAGGAGGCGAGCCTTTGAAAGTGGATGAAGGCAGATGGGCCCCCCCAGGGAGAGTGGGCATCGTCCAACCCACTGAGGACCCAGACAGAACAAAAGATGCATAAGGTGGCATTCTGTCTCTCTGCCTGACGTCTTGTCTGTCCGCACCTGCCCTTGTCGGGAACTCACCTCGCTGTTGCTTCTGGTTCTCAGGCCTTCGGACTCTGAACTTACACCACCAGCTGTCCTGAGTCTCCAGCTGCTGAGAAGATGGCGGACAGTGGGACTTCTCAGGCTCCGTGACCACGTGAGTCAATTCCTTATGTTAAACATCATGTGTAATGGAAGTATCCATGCGTATATATTCTGCTGGTTGTTTCTCTGGAGATCACGGCCCAGGACACTGTTTGTGAGGATGTGTGTCTGAAAAGAGGGATGGGGTGGAAAGACACAGTGACAATAGGGATCTATAAACACACCGAAAATTAACAAGAGATGTATTTACAACTTAAAAGAAAAAAATGTATGTTTTTGCTCCTCATTTTCCCAATGTTTAGAGTATAACATAGAATGCTATCAGAAAAGTTCTTTCTTTTAAAAAGAAAAACCTGGAGAAAGGTATGTTTCCCTGAGAAACTTAATTGATGAAAATACTTTGAGAAAAACTCTGTATGCCATCCATCCTTGTGGAGAAATGAGCTGTTAGAAAATATTGTGTCTCCCCTATTCAGATCCTTTCCTTGAAAGACAAGGAATCAATTAATGAGAGTTCTGTATAGAAACATGAAAGTGTGTTGAATTTTTGTCACATGCCTTTCTGCACCTGAGATGTAATGTGATTTTTATCCTCCAGTCTGTTAAGGTGTATCACGCTGATTGATTTGCCTGTGTAGAACCATTCTTGCAACTCAGGAATAACCATGGTGTGTGATTCTTCACCCTCCCAGTCAGAAGGGTCATGTAGAACTCGGTTTGCTACCGTTTTGTGGAGGATTTTTGTTTTCTGTGTTCATTGGGGTTATGGCTTGTGCTTTTATTTTCTTGGGGTTCTTGTGTCTGGTTTAGGTATCAGGGTGATGCTGGTGTTACAGACGAGTATGGAAACATTCCCTTTTCTGTCATTTTGGAAGTGTTTAAGAAGGGTTGGTATTCATCCTTTAAGCATTTGGTAGAATTCCTGTGGAGTCGTCTGGTCCTGGGCTCTCCTGTGTGGAGAGGTTTTTTGATTCCGTCTCCTGGTTTGTTATTGGTCAAACCAGCCTTTCCAGTTTGTCATGGTTCAGTCTTGGTAGGTTGTATGTTTCTATAAATTTTTCCATTTCTTTTAGGTTGTTCAGTTGTTGGTGTATAATTATTAACAACAGTACATTATAATATTTTATTTCTGTGCCATCTGTTATTATATAATATCTCCTCTTCAATTTCTGGTTTAATTTGAGGGTTGTTTTTTTTTTTGGTTAGTATAGCTAAGGGTTTGCTGATTTTATTTCAAAAAACCAACTCTTAGTTTTGTCAATTTTTAAATTGTCTCTCTATTCACTATTTCATTTGTTTCTGCTCTAATCTTTATTATTGTCTCCCTTCTTTTTCTAATTCCTTGGGGTATAAAGTAGGTTTGGTGTTTTTGAGACCTGTCTTATTTTTTCAATGTAGGTGTTTATCACTATAAACCTCCCTTTTGAAACTTCTTTTGTTGCATTCCATAAGTTTTGGTATGTTCTCTTTTGTTTGTCTTGAGATAGAAGCAGACTGGTGTACCAAGGCCTCCAGGAGCTAATGCAGGAATGAAATGAGTTTGTTATTGTGCTAATGAATTTGTATGGGGGGACCTTCGTATAACTGCGTATAAGCCCGATTATGTAACCCATCATATTAGCTAACTTGAGGCTTTGTTCAAATGTCAGAAACTTGGGTACATAGAAAGCAAAGAAGTGTTGTCTGTAAATATCTGATGTGTTAAAAAAACAAGCAAAAAGATAATGTTTCAATATCTTAGATTTTTCTTTTCTTGACGGAAGACATCCTGTAGCACCTCTGGGTTCTTATAAAAGTGGTTTTAGGAGCCAGGCTCTGGGCCTTTCTTCCCTAGAAAGTCAGGTTTTCCATGAAACAAGCATGTTGGATTGGCTGTAAGTGCTTTTTCTGGGAGTCCACATGCACCCTGCCACTAGACAGGGAAGGCGTCCTATAACATTCCAGGTTTCAGACTCGGATTCTATGCTTAACCTCCTGTTACACTCACGCATACCTGCCCACATTTAAATTAATAAAACTGAAAGCTACCTGGGCTCCCACTTCCAATCCGACAGAGTGACAGGGTCAGGACTTAAATCCCTGCTGTACGCGACTACAAACCTGGGCGAATGTATGAAAACCGTATCGGCAGGTATTAGACAGCAGACAACAGACTGCTGTGAGCTGGATGGCGCGTTCCAGGCCAGGGAGCAAGGGTGGGGATCCCGCACAGAGCATGGCGATCCCATGAGTTGAGGAGACCAGAATTTTGGGAGACGGAGGTGGTGGGGCCTTTCCTGAGGGAAAGAAGCAATGCTGGAGAAAGGCACAGGGGCCCACTGCGTCGGCTGACCGCCAAGCCATGCATACATCAGGTGAGAGTCCACAGGCCGTGCAGGGAGCTCACTTACGTGGGGCCGAGTGGCCTCTGAGCAGCTGGAGCAGAGAGCATAGGTCAGCACCTGAGGCTCACAGAGGACATCCTTGGTCAAATGTTAGTAACAAGGGAGGACGCTCCTGTACTAAAGCTGCTCTGGACCTGTCCATGAATGCTTTGGAGCGAGCCTCTAAAGCCAGAGTTCCAGGCCATTCACGTGCTCCTTGGCCTGTAGACGGGTTACTTAAGTCTCTGTGAAGTCCGCCTCCCACCTCAATGCCCCTCATCCCCCAGCACCGGGCGACCGCTCACCTGTTTCTTTCTGTAGGTTTGCCTTGTCCCGAATGACATATACCATATTGCCCCATGTATAAGATGCACCCTTTTTTGAAAAATTTGGGGTCTAAAAACTGGGTGCATCTTATACAGTGGTTGTAGATTTTTTTTACTTGCATTTCCCACTTTTTTTGCACTTGTTTTTATGCTCATGCAACCACTGTATAAGACGCACCCAGTTTTTAAACCCCACATTTTTCAAAAAAGGGTGCATCTTATACATGGAGCAATAATGGAATCATAAGCTCTGTAGCCATTTGAGACGCCCTTGTCTCACGTAGTAATATTCAGACAATCCAGGTGTTCAGACTGAGCATCTGTTCCTTTTCATTGCTCCAAAAGCCTCCATCCTCTGAATGCACCACATTCATCTGCCCACCCATTAAAGGACGCGATGGCTGTTTTCAGTTTTCATAAGTGTAAACAAAGCTTCCATGAACATCTGCATGTCGGTTGGTGTGGACATAACTTTTCGAATGAGTTAGGGAAATATGTCTGGATTATTTTGATTTATTTTTTGCATGCAGACGTCCAAATGTCCCAGTGCCATTGGTTAAAAAGACAGTCGTTGATCATTGAATTGCCTCTGTATTTTGTCCCTCACCAGTTGACTATATATGTGTAGGTTGCTCTCTGGACCCTGTCTTCTGTCACTTCATCAATGTGTCTATTCTTTAACCAGTGCCATGTTTGCTGATCATGCTATCTCTACAGTAACTCTTAAATAATGTAAGCATCATTAGTTTTGCTCATGGTCCCATTCTCAAATTGTGCATCATAACCGGAAACTAAACGCTTCCTTTTAAGCATAGACTGGATTGTACCTTCATATTTAATATGCCCACTCAGGTAGAGCACCTGCCCTGTGGTGTCTTTCTCCCTCTGAGTGAAATCCTTCTCATAATCCCAGGTTGAGTGATGAGACTGCTGTACCTGCTAACAGACTGCTTTCTGATAGTATCACAATATTTACTGCCCCTGACCTTTGTGACATCAGGTTTACATGCCTATCAGATGTCTCTTAGAAAGAGTTAATACTCAGAAATGTTCCTCGGTAAAAACAAATGTTATTCTACTTCAAAAAAACAGTGTGTCTTAGAATCATAGAGATGCTTACGTAGATCTCAGTTGGCAAAGGTAAAGTATTCTATGGGTCCATTTTTTGTTACCCAAGGTTGTGTTACAATTCAGCTGGCTCATAAGAGTTGCTGGGTGAAAGATGAAATGAGCGCTGGAAAGCACAGCTTGCCATGGTAGCTAGAAAGAATTTCACATCTACTTAATTCTTCAAAAAAAAGCACAAATTATTTCAGGATAAAAACAACGTGATATAAAATAGTATAAAATATAAAACAAAAAGATGTAACAAAATCAGAGCGCTTTCACTTGCATTATTTGTAAAATTACAGGTCTGCTTCGTAACAGAGAAAATGGGATTTCTCTTGGCCTTGGGATCTTTATTGTAAAATATTCCTGCTTTGCTTTTAAGATGTGATTCTTTTTTGTTCCCATGATTACCAGATTATGTGAAAACAGTTTTCATTTTGTCCCTTTGTAACACTCGCTGTAACTTGGTAGCAAGGATCAGAGAGATGGTAACATCAGACAGTGGGGAGCCCAGCAAATGCACACAGGAAGCGGATTCTGCTTTCTTGGGTCCTAGGCTCTTCCTGAAACTCCTTTAGGGTCTGTCAAGTACAAGCACCACCAGGACAAATGCAAGTCACGGCTTCTATAAAAGTGACATCGAGTGGTCCATGCATTCTCTGGGGAGGGAACTTGTGAGAAAGGGGTTATGTTAGGGACATGCAATCATTTTCTTGTCACAAATAAGTGGTACAGTCTACAGTCTGTAGACTTAGGTTTTCAAAGTATTTGCCTTTTATGATGCCGTCTGAGACAAACTTCAGAAAATTCAAAAGTAATTACCGTCTATAACCTTAATCTATAGTGGAAAAAAGTGGAGATCAGTAATTAACAGCCCCTAGACCTATGACTTAATGAGCTTTCTTGTCTAGTTCAGCCCTCGAATTTTACTTCTGGATTCAACCTATCAAAACTGGTTTCTCACAGCCTCTGTTTTAAGCGGAAAGCTGGAACATGTCCCCGTCACTTAGTGCCGTGGGCTCTGCCACAGTCAGCAAAAGCAAAAAGACACGTGGTGCTGTTTAGCAGCGGCCATTTTAGCAGTTTCTTGACAAGTGATTGTGCAATAAATGACTTGATAAAAATCAACATAAGCCTCATTTTCCATCATATTTTGTAGAAAACAAATGCTCCATCCCTTGCAAACTTTAGTAACAGATTTGAACACAAGTTCTCAAACCATGTCCATTGATAAGACAGTGATGACAACCTCCTCCGGGCATCATGCTAGGACTTGT